CATATTTTTCATTGCAGAACCTTCCATCAAAAGATTATCTCAGGTATAAAACCAAAATTAGCATCAGGCAAATCAACCTATAACTGAGCCATTCTCATGCCAAAATTACTCAAAGAATATATGTACTTTTCCTCTTCTCCCCAAAAAAGCAAAGTTCCATGTGACATTCAGCCACTTGTTACAAGCATTTCTATTGGGAAAGCCAATGAACTGTGGAATGGGGAAGAACTTTGCACCTAACTCCCATTTCTTGACCAAAAAAACAAAACAAAAAATAAATAAATAAATAAAATAAAAACACCTTTCAAAGTAAAGTAAGTACAACTTCTTTCAGGATTTTGTTTCCAAGATTTTTTATGGCAACACATACCCCTATCAAAAATAGTGAATCATCCTGACATGTAACAAGCAGTAGAGCCAAGCACAGCACCAAGAATCATAGGAGCCCCATATGTACCCGAGGAAGCCAGATTTTTCTTTCAGGAAAAGTTTTGCTTGGCTAAGAAATGCTGCACCATTTTGAAATTGTTAACATCCTTTACAGTTTCTAAAAGAGGTTAATGAAGTGGGAATTCTTTGAAAGCATTAGCACACACACAGGACACAAAAAAACAGGAGCTGACTGCACTGAAAACATTATTTGTTATGTGAAGAAACTAGTCTGTTGGATCCATGACCAGTTTCAAAACATAGGGAAAAAATGTCAAAGTTACACAGAGAATCACATTTTAGAAGAAAAACTACAACTTTCTTCCCTTTCTCTAAGCTACTTCTAGCTTGACCATTCCAAGTACACATGGTTTCATCAAGATCTAAATGTATGTATCGCCTTTCCTTTCTGCTGTAATCAGCACTCTAACAGGTGCCAAGTCAAGGAGTCAAATCCAAGAGTATATAAAATTATAGCCATTTCAAATCAATTCTTTCTCTCAAGTGAGTTTCAGAATCATCAGACATAAAGCATTTCCTTGGTTGTGTTTGGAATTTGGGATTGCACTGACAAGGACTCAGTCACACAGGAAGCATGCCAGCTTTTGCGTTACCGATAAAAGAGAAAGCTAATGAGATACAGATTTCATCACTTTACCCATGTGGCTGTCTCAGTTATAGACACGGACCTCTTCCTTTCATGTGAGGCTGATAGGATTGCTTGAATTTTCTATTATGAACAAGGACTGCATTTCCCATCTCCCCTGGTTTCTAACACAACTCAGAGCTGGTGGACATGTTCAGCTTTCCCCATGAGTATTAGTGCCTTCACCCATTCCCCTTACTCTGCCCTTCTATGAAGAGGAGAAGGTGACCAACAGATTGGTTCTTGGCCTACATTTTACTCACATATGAGGTTGCCTTTTCTTAAAAGGCTTGTAGTCATGTTCTGCTGCTTCTCTTCCATGTGTCTCTTCCATTAGTACATTTGTGTGGCCCTGATTTTTCATAGCAATGAGTCCACAGTACTCATTGTATTCCAGCCACTCCTTTTGAGACTAAGCAGATAATTCTTCTCTCCGGGAATGGACATTGGGGTAGAAATTAAAATTCTAGTTGAGACACCCACATCCCATATTGGAGTGCCTGGGTTTGAGTCCTGGCTCAGCTCCCAATTCCAGCTTCATGCTAATGTGCACCTTGGGAGGCAGCAGGTGATGGTTCAAATATTTGGGTCCCTACCACCCTTATGGAAGACATGGATTAAATTCCTGTTTGTCTCCGTCTTTTAGATAATACAAATAAACTTTCATTTAATCTTTTCTGCAGACCCACCTCTTAGTTTCAGAAAGAAGTTTATTTAATCTTCTGGCCTTAGTAGCTTCCCTGCTCTTTAATACAGCTGGCCAGAGGAGCCTTACATAGCAGGTGTCAGTTAAGGTTCAACCAGAAAAATAGAAAGCACTCTATTTATTTAAAACAGAAAAGAACTTAATCCAGGGAATGAAGCCACAATATTGTTGGTGAACATGAGTTTATTTCTCCTTTTTTTTCATATCTGCTCCTTCATGATTCTTGCGAATGTAAAAAGCAGATAGCTGCCCCTGAGAGGAACTCAAGTTCGGAGAGGATTATTACTCCCAGATATTACTCCCACGCTCTAGGACAGAGAAAGCTGCATCCACTGCTGAGTCAGCACTGTGTATTTTTTCCCTAGGAGAGATTTAAAGCCCTAATTTTCTGCTACTCTTCCAGAGTCAGATTCTATGCTCAGACATTTCAAGCCAGGTAGCATCTCGCAGACAAAAACACACAGGCTTCCCAGGACAACTCTGTCCATCTCTGCTTTTCCCCTGCATCCCTGAGGTCTTCTCTGTGTGTGCAAAATTTAACAATGGGAAGAGATGTAGGCAGAGTTTATGCTCAGGCTTTTGGGTCTTGTCCTTTCTGCACTCCCTTCATTTCCAGAGTTTCCCTCTTAGATGCTCACCCACTCTGTTAGCCACAAACTTTTTCTACTGCTACCGTAGCAGTCCCTGCTCCTCCATAGGATTTGGGGAACACTCAAGTATCAAGGCCTGATATACAATTGTTAGCACGCCCAGATGCAGTTTTTCAAGAGCAAAGTTATTTCTTGTTTCTGTTTGGTGTTGGATACTTTCCTGATTTTTAAAACTTTTTTTTTTTTTGACAGGCAGTTAGACAGTGAGAGAGAGACAGAGAGAAAGGTCTTCCTTTTTCCGTTGGTTCACCCCCCAAGTGGCCGCTGTGGCCAGGCCAGTGTGCTGCACTGATCTAAAGCCAGGAGCCAGTGCTTCCTCCTGGTCTCCCATGCGGGTGCAGGGCCCAAGGACCTGGGCCATCCTCCACTGCACTCCCGGGCCACAGCAGAGAGCTGGACTGGCAGAGGAGCAACCAGGACAGTATCCAGCGCCCCGACCGGGACTAGAACCCGGTGTGCTGGCGCCGCAGGCAGAGGATTAGCCTATTGAGCCACGGCACCGACCTGCTTTTTAAAACTTTTAGAAAAATATTTTGTCTGTATTGGAGCGGTGTTGTTTTTTTTTTTTTAATCCAAGGGCATTAGGGTGGGTTTTTTTTTTTTTTTTAGATTTATTTATTCATTTGTAAGGCAGAGTTACAGAGAGGCAGAGGCAGAGAGAGAGAGAGAGAGAGAGAGAGAGATCTATCTTCCTGTTGATTCATTCTCCAGAGGGCCACAATGGCTGGAGCTGTGCCTATCTGAAGCCAGGAGCCAGGAGCTTCTTCCGGGTCTCCCACGAGGGTGCAGGGGCACAAGGACTTGGGCCATTTTCTACTGCTATCCCAGGCCATAGCAGAGAGCTGGATTGGAAGAGGAGTAGCCAGGACTCCAACCGGTGCCCACATGGGATGCCAGCAGTACAGGTGGTGGCTTTACCCCCTACACCACAGCCACAGCGCCAGCCCCTGAGAGATCTCACATGATGCGTTCACTCGAGTGCAACCACTGCTTCCTCAGAGCTTGGAAGCAGGCTGTTTTATGCCCATCTGGTATAGCAGATATGAAGGAATGGACGGCAAAGTGGGGAAAGAAGATGTCCCCCCGCAAAAGGAGATATCTTCAAGACAAAAACAACAGCAACAAAAAACGTTTTTTTAATTAATATAAAAGTCTCTTTTGACATTTATCTACAGGATTATAATGCTGACATTCTTTCTTTTCTATTTTACCAAAGATCTATTATGTTAGCTGGGTGTTGGTTACAATTCACTACAAACCAGGGTGAGAGAGTCCCTGGGAGAAAGATCTCCCTGCCTAACAAGGAGGCAGGCAAAAAACTTCAAACTACACTCAGAAAAAAATTGTTGTTTTTTTTTTTTTAAGTTTAACAGCTTAAGATTTCCTTGAGATTAAGTCTTAAGAACTAGAGAGCATCAAAGCCAGTTCTATGGTTGCTGGCAACAAACCCAGGACCTGTGGGAAAGACAAATGCGCAGCAGGCAACATGAACTCCACACCCCCCAGTGTCATTGCCACTTCCCAACACACGCAGTTCTATAAGGTGAGGTTCCGCAGCCCGTGTGGATGCAACGCACTCAATGGGTTTCAACTCCTGTAAGAATCCCTGACCTTACGAAACCCTCAAAGGCAGAATGGAGCTGCTATCAAACTCAACCTTTGTCCCAGGGGAGATCTTTGTCTTTGCTGTAGTGGACAGCAGCAAATCCTGCTCTCTGCCTGCACAGAAATAGTCTCTTGCAGGACTATTTGTCAAGCATCCTTAAAAAAAATTTTTTTTTGAGAATCAGCACTGACCCAAATCGTGCTGAAATACAAGAAACCTGTAAAGGATTCCCTCCTAACAGTCAGCTGTTAGCTTTTTGAAACAACTCTTGGGAAAGTAGTAGGAAGCCCATCCCTGTGCAGGAAAGGCTTTTCCCCCCTGCGAAAGCTGGCCCTTTACTGAATGAGCAGCCTCCCACCTGGCCTGCGAACTCATTGATAATCACTGGGCTGGCAGACGTTAGAACAGAGCAGCACCAGTGTTTTCAGTTCAGGTATCACATAATGCACCATCTTTAAGTCATTAGCAAACAGTCCAGGAGAACAGCAGCTAAAAAACAAAACACCTACAGGACACAAATGAGATTTCTTTTGGAGATGGATTCATCTGGAAAGGAATTAAAACCAAAAGAACAACTGTACTAGAAGGTGGGTTTCCTGAAGCCCCCGAGACAAAGGTAACTTCTGAGAATTTGCTGTCAGCACTTTTGTGTCAATTAAACATAAAAACTTACCAATTATACATTTTTTCATTAATTAGCAAAAAGGAAGAGGAGGAGCAATTTCCAAGCTCCAAGCGCTGCACTAGGTACTAATAACAAAAGTTAAGCAAGACAGACAAGATCATTGCCCTGGAGAACATTATCTTCTGTGAGATTAGACCGACAGGAAGCAGAAAAATAAATATATGGTTACAATAATTACAGGTTTGTAGACATGGTGGATAGGAGATAAGCAGGATTCCAGCAGAGGCATAGGTTTAATCTGATAAGGAAATGCCCTGAGAATACATTGCACACATTACCTCAAACTGGGTGAAAAGGGATCTGTTCTGCCCAGCACAGCAAACAACCTGAGCAAGTTCTTGAGCCAGGAAAGTCCTAGGAGCCGACAGAGGCTGGTATGACGGCAGCCCAGAGTGAGAGAAGAGATAGATACAAAAATCTGAATCAACATGAACTTAACACCACTTCCTTTATTTTTAAAGAATGTGCCTGTTTCCATTTATAAAATACAGCAGTTCCTGATCACTTACAGTGGTTATGATTTTCATTTTTTCTAAGATTTTATGGCAGCGGTGGCTGTGCACACTCTTAGTCTCTCTTCTGCATGGCCTCCTTCCTCTTCCTCCGGGATGAGATCAGTGTAGGAGTGTGCACCACCCTCTGCCCCTCTACGTATTTCCAGGGTTACTACAAAGTATGTTGGTGGTGGTATCCAGCAGCGTCCTCTCAAGCTGCCCCCTCAGCCTCCTGGGAGGGTCTCCCAGGGCTGCTCTGTTTATGGAGTGGACTCTCCTTGAACCTGACAAATATCCTCATCCACCCCTCCAAAACCGGTACCATCCCCTCGACATGCTGAGGTCTTCCTGCCCTGGAGGCTGGGAGGAGTGGGGATGGACAAGCTTCCCTATCCTTCTTCCACTACACTCGACAGGCATGCAGGCTTGTTCAGGGACTTTTCAGAAAGGAATCACCACGTGGGAGGGGAAATATCACCATCTGTCCAGCCAGAAAGCTTTTTCAAGCCTCTCTATTCCAAATACCTTCCTTCCCACAGGAAGAATTCCCACTCCCTGGATTTTTCTTCTGTCTCCCCTTAGAATGTCCCAACTCAGGGCTTCCAATTCTTTAGTATCTTCGACCTCAATCAAGGAGACAGGATGGGGTGCCGGACTTGTGACCCAGGAGCTCAGGCTGCTGCCTGCACTGCTGGCCTGCCATATGAACACCAGTTGTAGTCCCAGTTGTTCCATTTCCTATCCAGCTCCCTGTTAATGTGTATGGAAGAGCAGCAAAAGATGGCCCAAGGGCGTGGGCCCCTGCCACCCATGTGGGAGACTCTGGTGGAATGCCTGTCTCCCTATTGTGGCCATTTAGGGAGTGAACCAGCAGATGGAAGGTCTCTGTGTGTGTGTCTCCCCTCCCTCTACATACCTCTGCCTTTCAAATAAATATGAGAGAGAGAGAGAGAGAAGAAGAAGAAGAAGGAGGAGGAGGAGGAGGAGGAAGAGGAGGCGGGGGGGGGAAGAAATATTGGATGCAGCTCACCTCCTCCGAAGATCTCAGAGGAGGATGAGTTCCACTCTGGCAAGCAAATGAGCATCTGTCTTCCAATTCAGGGTTTCTTAGAAACAATCCGACCCAAAGGAGATATAGACCTGCCGTTTCCTTAGCAGTTGACCTGTAAAATAGCCTTGCCTTCTAACCTGGCAAGACTGAGGCGTACAATGCCCTGAAGCTTTGCTCCTCCCAGATTTAAGCAATCCCCTAGGGCAGCCTCAGCTTCAGCATCACTGGATATTCATAAACCCTCCTCCCTCCACACCATTAAAGAACATGGGCCCTAATTTCACAAAAGCAAGTTCAAACTGTGATAAAACTACCTCATTACAATGCTCAAAAGGCCATAGAAAAGGCCTGTTTAAAAAAACCTTCTCGGAGGTACCTTTCTCTGAAGGGAGGAGAGAACCTCCACTTTGACTATGACCTTGTCTAAACAAGATAAGAGTCGGAGAACTCAAAAGACTTCCATAGCCTTGGAAACTCATGACTGGAGCATAGGGAGATTACTGATGCCATAAACAGGAGTGTCAATTTGTAAAGTCAACAACAGGAGTCACTGTGCACTTACTCCTCATGTAGGATCTCTGTCCTTAATGTGCTGTACATTGAGATTTAATGCTATAACGAGTACTCAAACAGTATATTTCACTTTGTGTTTCTATGGGGGTGCAAACTGTTGAAATCTTTACTTAATGTATACTAAACTGATCTTCTGTAAAAAAAAAAAAAAACATGGATAAATCATCAATTCCCAACTTGACTCTCACTGGGATTAAACATAACAATAGGTCTGATCTGATTTCATCATCATTTAAAAAATCATCTATTATTTTTCACTTTATGTTTCTGTGTGGGAGCAAACTGTTGAAATCTTTACTTAATGTATGCTAAACTGATCTTCTGTATATAAAGAGAATCAAAAATGAATCTTGATGTGAATGGAAGGGGAGAGGGAGTGGGAAAGGGGAGGGTTGCGGGTGGGAGGGACTTTATGGGGGGAAGCCATTGTAATCCATAAGCCATACTTTGGAAATTTATATTCATTAAATAAATGTAAAAAAAAAAAAACTTCTCAAAGACACCTTTATAGATACACAGCTCACCCCAGGGGTAGCTGGTAATCATGGGACAGCATTCTGTCTTCTGGGAAAAAATCACCAAAAATTCCATAAAAATTAATTCCTAAATATCTTCCACCTGACAGATTTGTAGATTAAACAATGAAATAAATGGATTGATGACATGGTAATCCTCAACAAAAACAAAAATTGAATGATGGATTCTTCTTTGATTACCCCAACTTAACTTCTATCCTATAGAGATTGAAACCTTTCATTTAAAAGATGCTAGATAGGGGCCAGAGTTGTGGCATGGTGGGTTAAGCTGCTGCCTGGCATGCCAGCGTCCCACATGGGCACCTGTTTGAGTCTCGGCTGCTTTTCTTACGATCCAGCTCCCTGCTAATGCTCCTGGGAAAGCAGTAAGGGAGAGGATGGCCCAGATACTCTGGCCTTTGCACCCATGTGGGAGACCTGGATAAGTCTCCTGACTCCTGATTTTAGCCTGGCCCAACTCCATTGCAGCCATTTGGAGAGTGAACCAGAAGATGAAAGATGTCTGTGTGTGTGTGTGTGTGTGTGTGTGTCTCTCTCTCTCTCACTCTCTCCCCCTCCCCCAACACACACCCTGTAACTTTGCTTTTCAAATAAAATAATCTTTAAAAAAAGATGCTAGAAAGCACCACTTTGGCAAAGAAATATTCTTTGAGTTACTTTACAAACTCCCTGTGTTCATGTTTATTGTAAACTGAGTGTCTGCGTCTCCCTGCCACACACATATAAATTAACATGTTGAAATCTTAGCCCCTGGTGCAGTAGTAGGAGGTGGGGCTTTTGACAAATAATTCAGTTTAGGTGAGGTCATGAAGATGCAGCTGCATGCTGGGGCTGACATCATAATAAAAAGAAGAGACTAGAACACTGTCTCCCCCTAATACCCTCTATGCCTATTCACCCACCCGGAGCCATGTAAGGACATAACAGAAGGCAGCCATCTGCAAACAAGGAAATAGCCCCTCACCAGATTTGTCAGCCCCTTGACCTTGGGCTTCCAAATCTACAGCATGGTGTGAGATAAGTGTGTGTTTTTAAGCTGCACAGCTTGTATTATTTAGTTATAGAATCCTGAACTGATAAAGAAAATGTTCAAGGCCACTGGATATGGCTGTATTGCAAACAAAAAATTTAAAAATAATCTACAGAATGAACTTAATAACTTAACCTAGTTTCAATTTTTGTTGAAATAATCAATTCAGTAATAGTAATCTGTTTTAGTAAAACAAACAAACAAAAATGGGGGAGGGGGATTTGGCCTAGCGGTTAAGACACCCAGTGAAATTCCCTATGTCTTATATCAGAGTCCCTGGGCTAGAGTTCCAGCTCTACACCGGATTCCAACTTCCTGCTAATGCACTCCCTGAGGGGCAGCAGGTTATGGCTCAAGCAGTTGGCTTGCTGCCACTCACCAGGAGATCTGGATTGAGTTTCTAGCTCTCAAATGTGGCCCCATCCAGCTCTGGCCACTCAAAGCTTTGGGAAAATGAAGCATCAGACGAGAAAATGTTTCTTTCTCTCTTTGTCTCTCTCTCCCTCCCTGGCCTTCAAATTAAAACAAAACATTTGGAAAATCATTTAGGCAGTACATGATGATGATAATCTAAAAATAAGAGAATTTTTAAAGATCTATTTTATTTATTTTAAAGGCAGAGTGACAGAGACAGGTAGAGAAAGAGAGAGAGAGAAATCTTCCATATATAATTTCACTCCCAAAATAACTGTATGGAATGCTGTTATTACAAGCAGTGGCTTAACCTGATGTACCACAACACTGGCCCCAAAATAAAAAGGTCTTGACACCAGTGCCAATAATGGTAAAATATCACCAGTGCCAATTTTCTCTTAGTGTCTTCGTGTTTTGTTTTTGTTTTTGTTTTCAGGCAGAATATGGTTTGGTTGTATTTCTGAAACATCAGATTGATAGCCCAACACAATGCTTCATTGAAACCAACCAGCAGAATCATTCAAAACACATTTCTTCAGTTCTATTTTATGTTTCTCCAAAATGACACCCAGTTTGTGATGCTAAATTGTTTTTTAAATGATGGGTTGTCTAGGGCCAATCATGCATGAATCCTGTTCTTGAAGACTAATACTATTTTCCACTCCATCCATCTCACTGTGGAGAAAGGTGATGGTGACGGATGTTGCAGCAGGCTGGGGATGCTGGTCAAACTCGGCCATCTGTGCCTGGGTCAGACTCAGGGCTCTTGTAAAGGGAATTGGGGATAAATGGGAAATTTGTTTAAAATGCTTTGTTGTTCCACAAGGCCAATAACTAGTTGGGCAGTGCTGAGGAGAGGAACAGGGTTACAGGCCCCTAGACAGCTTACCAGAGAACTTGTATTAGTAAATTAGAAATCACACATTAAAAGAAATAGAAGAATAGATGTTATTGTGAAAGTGATTAGAGCAACTATTCCCCAAAGAGAACACTTTTAATGGCTTCTCATGTTTATTCACATATGCTGTTACGTAACAGAAATAAAGAAAAAATAACCTCAGAAGTCATGTCCTTATGGCAAGAGTACAAATCCCCCCAGACATGTGAAAGGTGTTGTGAGTAAACACAGAGTACCCCTGTACTGGGAGTTAACAGACAACAGATTTGCTAGACTTTATGCAGTAGTGACTAAATTTTCAACATCTGTGTGTCTTTTTTTACCTTACTAACTTCCCACAGATAAAGGGAAAGAGCCAACAGACTACAAAATTAAATTAGAATGTGTAACAGAAGATGAGAACAAATGAGAGTTTGTTTAGTACTTAAAATAGCAATGTTTTGCATTTAAATAAAAACCTAACTTAA